ACCTTAAGAGCAGCTAGATGGTGCAGTGGATAGAGTGCTAGGCCTGAAGTCAGGAAGATCTGAGTTCAAATTGAGATTCGGATACTTACTAGCTGTGTGACCCTGGGCAGGTCACTTAACCCTGTTTGCCTCAGTTTTCTCATCTGTAAAATGAGCCAGAGAAGGAAATGGCAAACCACTTCAGTAGCCTTGCCAAGGAAACCCCAAATGGGGTGACAAAGAGTTAGACACAACTGAAGTGACACAACAACATTTATAACTTTGCTTACTATATTGACTAGAAGCAGGGTAGAGTGGGGGGTGGGGGAGCTTGACAGAGGGACCAAAAAAGATACAACTTTAACATAGTCTCTTTGTTATGCTCATTGGTTTAAATTTTTGTATAAAACTATTATAATTGCCATAAACATTTTATATTCATTATAGATTTTCATGATTAATTACTTGTTTAAATAGTTACAGTTAAATATTTTAATAGTTAAATGAAAAATATGAAATTAATTATTTTTGATGGGAAAGCTCATTATTGATGTGGGAGTCATCCCTGAATTGGCAATCCCTTTATAGTTAGGCCACTACCTTAGAACAAAGATTAGAATTAATATTTAAAGAAAACTATTAAGATAGGAAAAAAGATACTGCCCACAATGAAAACAACTGAATCCTGACCTACTGGGACAAATAATTGATAATGGGAAATGGGTAATATGTAAATAACATTATAAATGTAAAAGCTCTTTGCCCAATTGGCCTATATCTTCTACATAAGGACCTCTGTATAAGGAACTGGGGGTGTTTCTCATGTGAACAGTAATACAATATTGCTGTTTAGTGCATGGACAGTATCAGAGATACCTATAACTTTGTCATATGTGTCTTTTGTAAACTGTGAAGAAACCCTGTAAATGCTTAAGATATATGGATTTTCCTATCCCCCACCTTTTTTTGGTGTTGGGCTCAGAAAGCAAAAAAAAAAAAATTGTCTGCTTTAAGAAGTCTCAGGCCCGAAGCAAATTTAAGAATAAGGGGGAAAAAAAGCAACTGCTGGCAGTTACTAGGTTGATGAAAGAATACTTTTACCTAGTCATTCAAAGTATCTTATATGTAAGCACTAAGCTTCAAAGGAGGGGATACATATAGAAGTGTAAACCTGAGTAACCTTTATCTAATTGGGAAAAAAAAGACACTCATAAAGTTTTATGATTTTGGGTCTTTTTTCTTTCGATTGTGAAATGAAAAGGATGCAGAAAGATGTAGATGAAACAGTTTTAAGGGAACCCATTTCCTTGCAAATAAAAAAGGGCAGGTTTAGGGGTGGATTAGATGAATAGAATAGCTAGAGATAATTAAGAATGCTAGAAATCAAATTAACACTTCAGTTCTAATAAGCTATGAACAGGTAGTTAAGGACCTTTGGCATTGCCAAATTCAGAGAAGGAAGTTGGGTAAAGTTTTAGAGCTTAGAGATTTTCTATGTCTAGAAGCACAGGAGGTAAAGCCAAGTCTAGGGAACAGTAAACTGGGGTAATTGCCTCACCAAGACACTTAGGAGGGGGGAGCTATATTGCTGGTGCTGAGCCAGAGACTAAGGAAGAAAGCCTTTGGGTAAGAGATGGCTCTGCCATCTTGTACCAAGAAAGCATAATGCTAATATACACATCTTTCTACAATCTCACTGCTGTGGGTACTCTCTTCACCAAAACAAGCTGCAACCCCTTTGTCTTTGTAGATGGCTTTTGAGAGTTGCCATGACTGAAAAAATTCATCCTTCTATCTGTCCAATCTGACAATGTTTATTTGAATTTGGCTATGTGACTCAGGTCACACACACAAACACACACAAACACAACTGCCAAGGCCTTTGAAGATTATGAGTCACCTCCATAATGAGGTATGAAGTAGGGAAGATTTTTTCTGGGAACTGGACCCCCTAAGGGCCCAGATCCTGGTAGGGACAATTGATAATAATGCATTTATATATCATTTTGAGATTTACAAACACTTTTCTCACAACAATACTAGATTGACTAGTGACCACCATATTATATTAGCTCCATTTTAAAGATGAAGAAAATGAGGCTCAAAGTGGTTAAATGATTTGTCCATGGTCACATAGGTAAGTGTCAAAAGTCAGTAGTCAAAATCAAGTCTTCTTGTTGTGCTCTGAGAGGTTGAGACCCCTCAAAAACTGGAGTACAGGATGGGGTCATCTGGAATGAATTCACAGACTCAAGCATTCTTTAAGTCAAGTTGGCAAAAAGTTTGTTTTGCTTTTCTGCAGGCAAGGATTCTTAAGGAACGTCCGATCTTAGAGGGGTACAGTTAAAGTTTATATAGGATAAAATATAATAAAACATGTGTCAAATATGCTAACTAGGTGATTCAGGGTAGGATTAGGGAGTGGTTAAAGAGTGGTCAGTTCTTAAAGGAACATGTACTTCTTGTACCTACTGCTCAGGCGTTTTACCCAGAGTTCACTAGGAAAAGCCCCCAAGGGGGGCCACATGGAGGTGTGGTTTTAGACCTGCTACATCACTACGTTAACTACAGTTCAGGGGTAACTGAGAGTTGTCCAGTCTGCCACCAGTCAATGTCTTGTTTGACAAGATAGATGAAGGGAGTATACATATGTCTTAGGTCTAGAATACAGATAATGAGGAGTCCAGGATGTAGATAATGAGGTAGGGCAGTAGTATAGATAGTCCAGTGGGTAAGAATATCTTTATGACCCAGTGCAAAGCCAGTTCAGATTAATAATTCCTTCAGGTGCTGTTTGTAACTGCACCAGGGAAAGAGATAAGGGTCTTGCTGGGGCCCACTTATGAGTAATTGCTAGGCACAGTGTCCTTGGGCTGGGGAGAAACTGCCAGAGACAGTGTTTTTGAGGCTAGGGAGAAATTGGGGTCCAAGTATAAGCACAAGCACCCAAACACAAGCACTCAAGCACCCCATCATTCTGCCTCAGGGTCCCATGCTGTCCCCACTATATCCCCCACTATATCATGCTGCCTCTTTATATTTCTACCCGGAGAAGTCAGTTTCTCCTTAGGGAAGTAAAACCATATTGATAACATTTGCAGTTTAGTGAGATAATTTTATATATATATAATATATATATATATATATAAATACATGTACACACATATACATATATGTTCTGTCTTGATATTGTTATATAGACATTAAAAACTAACATTTAGTACATAGATTAGTTATAAAATATATAGAAATATTTTAAATTAAAAATCCAAAGTGGCTAGATATAGCACAGTATTTCTATTTGTGCTCAGTTTTTCAGCAGACAGATATGAAACAGTTTATGGCAGCTACTGAAGATGCAATATAAACTAGCAGGAAGTAAGGTTGATAGTAAAAACTTAAACATAGAAAACTATACAACTCTACCTGCTATCTATTCTTCTATTACTTAGGCTTCCTTATTTTTTTAAGTTATGGTATCTTTTGCTTTTTGGCAATTCATTTACTATGTAAATTCTTCGCTCTTTTCTTGACTATCTTACATCCTCCTCATTTGTTCTACAATTCAGATTTCTTTTTTAGCAAGGATCCTAACTCTCTCCTTTTCCCTTACATTTCATTCTTTGGGAATAGGACTAGGACAGAAATATTTGGTCTTAAATGATCTCATTAGCTATCAGGAATGATGAAAGTTATATACGATGAAGAAAATAGATATCTACTTCATTTTCCCTTTTAAATCAAGAAATCCCACAAATGATGTTTTTTTTTTAAAGAAATCTTCAAATAAGTGGTTTTCCATATAAACACTAAAATGTATTTGACTTTCGATGAAACAGTACAAAGAGCGGGGGAAGGGTACATCATTCTATTTTCTACTCACCTGTCCCTAGCCCCTACTCACATGTATTGTCTCCCTGTATTAGAATGTAAAGTCCCTAAGGACTGTATTTTATATTTTTATCCCCAGTGCTTAGCATTGTGCCTGGCATATAAGTCAGCATATGGTAAATGCCTTTTCATTCATTCCATTCAAAGTGGTAAATTTAAATTCATTTTAAACTATCATGATACTTATTTACCTTTCTAAAATGGAGGAAAATTGATTAATCCATACAAATTGGCACTATCTTTTTAAGAACACAGTATGTTTGTTTTTGTTGACGTTAAAAATTAATTTTTATTGTATTAGTGAAATAAAAACCACATGCTATTTTAAAACAAACGTAGAAGATATATATTGGAAAATACAGTAAGCCTTATTGATGCTTTTTTTTTTAACCACAACTAGAATACTTCAATTTCCATTTCATAACAAAGAAAGAAAATTATTAACAAGGTACTAAATTGCCACCTACTGGACAAAGTAGAAAAGTTACACTTCTTTGAACCTGTAACAATAAAATTAATGCAAATATCTTTGTTATAGACTACCGCTAAAATGGATGTCTAGAAGGCAAGTTCTAACACAGTTTGAAATAGATATTCATTTTCTTTCTAAAGTATTAAGTTTAAAATACTTTAAAATGCAAATTATTATAAATTCAGAAGTATTATTTTCTTGCCAAATGTTTTACAGTTTGTTGGTGCTAAATGAAACACAAAAGAGAAGAACAGAATTAGATGCTTGATTTTCAAATAGTTCAGCATTTAGTTGAGTTGACTTGCTGTAAAAAGAGGTCTTTCCCAGTCAGCCCATCCATATAGTTCAACTGTAGAGAAGACTTCTTTCTCTGTAACTCATCTGCACAAATCAGTACAGCTCCCTACCTACATACTCAGAGTTTCTACAGAGACTCTTCTACCACATACCTGTTCTCAACTGTAGTTTAGTTAACAACTTAATTATCAACTGAGAGTTAGTTTTAATAAAAGGGAGGAAACTTATTCACTACGTAAGTCCCTTTGAAGATAGATCCTACTAGTCACAGATCCAAAGGCTTATTTCCCAAATTATTTTACTGGATGCCAAGGATGACATACTGTGTCACCCGTATTCTCGATTTTGCCAGAGTACTGTTTTAATCTCTCATTCCTATGCACCTCCTTAGTTCCTCCGCAGTTTTTTCCATCTGTTGAATATTCCACTGCCATTGTCTTCTGTTTGCCTGAAGCTTGTTCACCTGACAGCGGAGGCGCTTTAAAACAGCATCACACCTTTTATTTTGTACCTATTGAAACAAAGAGTACAATTTAATAGAATTTGTAATAAATAATAAATATGGATATGAAAAGCTGTCTACTTACATGAACAGGTCTTAGCAATAAGGAAGCACCGTCATGGAGGGTAAATTAGTACAGGACTGAGAATTAGGAGAGTCTGAGGCATGAATTCTTCCTCTGCCACTTCCGAGCTGTGTGGCCCTGGGTAAGTCATTCAATCTCTATAAATCTCAACTGTAAAATGGGGATACAGCTGTAGGATTTATTTTACAGGGCCGTTATGAAATTAAATAATATGTAGAAAAGCACTTTGCAAACATTCATTTGTTATTGTTGTATCTGACTCTTCATGACCCCGTTTGGGGTTTTCTTGGCAAAGACATTGGAGTGGTTTGCCATTTCTCTTCAACTCATTTCACAAATGAGGAAACTGAGACAAACAGGGTTAAGTAACTTACCAGGGTCACACAGCTAGGAAGTGTTTGAGGCCAGATTTGAACTCAGAAAGATGAGTCTTCCTGACTTCAGGCATGCTGCTCTATTCACTGCACCACCTAGCTGTCCCACAAACATTAAAGTGCTTTGTAAATGACAGATGTTCTTACTAGTCAAGACTACAGTTTTGTTTTAATGTAGGAAAGCCAGAGACTGAAGGATTCTTGAAAAATGGAGGTGATGATAACAAAGGATAAAAACAGCTTACATCTAGCCTTCTCTACCTCTCAAAGCACTTGTACATCCAATTAATGTTACAGGTTAAAAGAGCTGAATAGATCTTTTATGCAGTTATTTGCAGAATTATATTCTTAAAAGAACCTGGATGCTGCCTAGTCTGTTCCTTTTCTATGGGTAGGTTAATAGTAAAGACAGACAGGTCAGAAAGATGAGGATCTATTTGGTTTTTATAAGACAATAATCAAATAATCATATATTAAATAATATCAAATAAAAATCAAATCAGCAAATATTGAGTATCTACTATGTGCAAGACATCATGCTAGGTACTCTGGAGGATTTAAAAGATATGATATAATCCCTGTTTACAAGGGCTTACACTCTAGCTGTGACATAAGATTAGACATGAAAAAATAATAATACAAGGCAATACAGGCAATAAGTAATCCTTTAGATTCCAGTGTTCATAAAAATAATCTCAGAGGAGGCAGAATTTTATTTGAGCTTTAAAAATGGATAGAATTGAGCCAGGTTGACAATGCATTGACTTGACTAAAGCATAGGCATGATAATTTTACCTGCCTACTCAGTAAACTCCAGTGACTCTCTCTAACCATCAGGATCAAATATAAAATCCTACGACATTTAGAGCTCTTCCAAAGCTAGCCCCTTCCCACTTTTCCAATATTCCTACACTTGACTCTCCTCCTATCCCTGATGAGGTCTAGAGGTTTAGGGGTGCTGGCACCCTGAGATCGCGACGCAGGCCCTGCCTGGATCAATTCAACCCAAATCTTCTTTCAGACAGAGAAAAAGTTTATTAGAGATAAATCACACAGGTCAGTCTCTTAAGGAATGTGAACATGAGTAACGCCCATAGGGATGAGCCAGCATGAGAAAGTCTCAGCCTTTTGGGCATGAGTCTCAGCATTTAAATGGGGGCCAGGGTGGATCATATATACACTAAAGTAAATTTGGGTGACCAGGGAAGGGGCTGGGAAAAGGGTCTAGTTGAGAATTCTGATTGGAATGTCTAAGAGATTGAATAGACAATGGGAATAGATAATGAGAGGGACTGGATGGAAGAAGTTTGAAAGGCATTTGAATAAGATCAAAAGGTGGGGCTAGGGCTTTCAAAGGGAGATAAGGGGAGATAAGGAACCCTTTGAGACCAGAGTAAGAAAAGTTTAAGGGCTTTCTGGGGCCTGTAGACAAATGGGAGCCAGATTCCCTTTGGGGTAAGGGGCTAAGATCTCGGCTTGGGCCCACACACCATCACTGGTAGATTGATTGTGTAAGTAAATATAAAATATGAAAAACAAATTATTACAAGAGAAAATTTTGGGGGAAATACTAGTACCTGAGGAGATCAGGAAAGGCCTTGTATAGGAGGTAATCTGTATATCAGCTATGAAGGGAAAAAAAGGAATTCTAAGAGGTGGAACTGACAAGGAAGTGCATCGTAAGCAGAGGGGACATTCTATAAGCTTGGACATTACTTCCCTTTATGCTTTCTGTAGGTCAGCCAAATTGGCTTACTTGCTGTTCCTCATACATATCATTCCATCTCCGGTATAGTTAAAATGCTTATGCTATAAATTAATGGCTTTATGGCTTAACATGGAAGTTTATTCTGTTTCTCTATTTATAATCTCTACCCAGAAACTGAGAGGGATGAAATGTCTTTCATCTTACAAGTTGCCTGGTTATAATCACTTAATCATCCTAGTTAAGATATAGATAGCTGTATATACCTATATGTAATATAAGCCTATATGTGTTTCCATGTATCTATAGCTTATATATATAGATATATTTTACACAGTATATCATACAAATCTTAATCTTCCTAGTTAATACACATGTATGCATGTATGCTTATACACATGTATGTATTATTATGTATGTATGCATATTGGGAATTGGGCGAGGTAAGCACAATCCAAGTCATCATTTCTTGTTTCCATTATATTCAAAGTTCCACACCAACATCTATGGGAAGGTATAAAGGATACTCTAGACATAGTTTGTGTTTCAACAAATGTAAAGGTTAAAGGAGGGAGGATTTACACAGATAAAAAGAACATAAAAACTCACAGAAAAAATGTAAACAAGTATATAACTAGACAGCATAAAATATCTGGGAGTATACATGCCAAGACAAACCCAGGAATTACATGAACATGATTGTAAAACACTTTTTATACAAACAAAGTAAGATTTAAATAGTTGGAGAGATATTAATTGTTCATGGGTAGACAGAGTCAATATAATAAAAATCACAATTCTACCTAATCTATTTATTCAATACCATCCCAATTAAATTACCAAAGATTATTTTATTGAGCTAGAAAAAAAACCCCAAAATTAATATGGAAGAACAAAAGGTCAAGAATATCAAAGGAATTAATGAAAAAAAAATATAAAGGAAGAAGATTTCGCAATACCAGATATTAAACTGTATTATAAAGCGGTAACTGTCAAAACTATCTGATACTGGCTAAGAAACAGAAAGGTGAATCAGTGGAACAGAATAGGCATATAATACATAGCAGTAAATGATTATAGTAATCTTTTGTTTGACAAATATAGAGATTTAAGCTTTTAGAATAAGAATTCACCATTTGGTTAAAAAAACTGTTGGGAAAACCTGAAAGCAGTTTGGCAGAAATTAGGTATAGACCAGTATCTTACACCATTTACCAAGATAAGGTCGAAATGGATACATGGCCTAGATATAAGAGGAGATATCACAAGTAAATTAGAAAACCATGGAACATATTACCTATCAGACTTATGGAGAGGATAATTTATTAATAAATAAGAGATAAAGAGCATTTTGTGATGTAAAATGGATCATTTTGATTACATTAAATTAAAAAGTTTTCATATAAATAAAACCAATATAGCCAAGATTAGAAGGAAAACAAAAAATTGCGAAAAAAAATTTATAGACAATTTCTTGGGTAAATATTTCATATCTCAAAAATAGAGAACTCTATCAAATTTATAAGAATATGAGTCATTCTCCAATTGATAAATGGTCAAAGGATATTAATAGGCAGCTTTGGGAGGAAAAAACGCTCTAAATCTTCTTAAACTTTTTCCACTTGTGAGCACTCTAGCACTTCTTTTTTTTTTTTTGGCAATTGGCATTTAGTGATTTGCCCAGGGTCACACAGCTAGTTAAGTGTCAAGTGTTTGATCTGAGGCTGGATTTGAATTCAGGTCCTCCTGACTTCAGGGCCGGTGCTCTATGTACCGCACCACCTAGCTGCCTCCACTCTAGCATTTCTAAACCTATGGGTTGTGACCTCTAAATCACTATTGATTCGAGAAATGCAAATTAAAACAACTTTGAGATATCATTTCACATCTATCAGACTGACCAAAATGATAGAAAGGGAAAATGACAAATATTGGCGAGGATGTAGAAAAATTGGGACATTAATACACTGTTGATGGAACTGTGAAATGACCCAACCATTTTGGAGAGCAATCTAAAATTACGTACAAAGAATTATAAAACTGTGTATATACTCTTTGATCTAGCAATACCACTATTAGGTCTATTTCCCAAGGTGATCAAAGAAAAGGGAAAAGAATATAAAATATTTATAGCAGCTTTCTTTATGGTGGCAAAGAACTAGAAATTGAGGGGATGCTTGAATAAGCTGTGGTATGTGATTGTGATAGAACACTACTGTGTTGTAAATGATGAGCAGGTTGGTTTTAGAAAAACATGGAAAGCCTTGCATGAAATAATGAGGAGTGAAATGAGCAGAACCAAGAGAACATTGTATATGGTAACAGCAATATTGTTCAAAGAATAACTGAACGACTAAGCTATTCCAAATTATGAATATTCAAATTAACTACAAAGGACCTATGAAGGAAGATGCTATATGCCTCCAGAGAAAAAACTGATAAACAGAAGTATGCATAGTATGGTTTTACATATACACACATCACAGGGTTAAGGTGATGCTGTGATACAGTAAAGTAGAAAAAAATAAAACAAAACACTGCCCTGAAAGTACAGTATTAGTCTTGCTCTGTGACAAATTAGCAGTGTGACCTTGTATACATCACTTAATGTCTTAGCCTCAGCTACTACTTCTTTAAAATGAGGAACTAGTGAACTCTGAGGTTATTCCTGGTTCTAAAAATCTATTATTTTGTTATTATAATGAATTCGGGAGGCTTACAGAAGGTGGAATCAACAATTCTTGTCCCACAAATTATATCAACCAAGTTAGTGATAATAATTAAAATCTGTGTTTATCATTTTCACAGATTTTTAAGGAAAGAGTGGTTTCAAACAACAGTTTTG